CCTCGCAGGTGCCAATGCCATCGACGGCGGATGCACGCAACCGCTGCACTGTTCATGGGTGTACTTCAGCATGTGGGTGAATGGATTTTTGGCATATCAGCTCTTACTGTGTGTGCAATCGACGTACATGCATTTTTTTGCAAGCCTTGTAACTCAACTCAAATAAGTGGCACAATTCCGAGGCAAGTTATTTACCCTGGACAAGTTCTAACTTACCGACGCGAACCTTCAAGCGAACCTTCAAGTAGCTTTGGCAGCGGAAAGAGAAACTGCAATATGACTGTTGCAATCGCAGCGTGCAGCAAAAAGATCGTGTATTGTGACTCCAATCTTAGCGGAGGTAGTTCTATGCAATCGTTAGAACAGAATCCATGGACTGGAAGACTGGGATTGAAGGTCAGACAACGAATCCCGTCAGATTTCTTAGCGGCCAGTTGCTACCAAGCGGCTTGTGCAAGCCAATGCGGGATGATTAGATTTGTAGGTGCCACGCAGCATGTTTCACATAGCATGTACATGTCGCATGACATTGGCTCAAGCCGTCGAGAAAAAAGCACCTTGCGGTATCAGTTCTGCGAAAACTCCGTTCATAGTACTACTAATATAATTAATATTACGAGTATTAGTCTAGTATTATTAGCATTACTAGTATTACTAGTAGAATTACTAGTATTATTATTATTATTAGTATTATTATTATTCTTCTTACTATTGTTCTTATTACTAGTCTTATTACTAGTTTTATTATTAGTTTTATTACTAGCATTATTGCTAGTATTATTACTAGTATTACTAGTATAATCAGTCTTACTAATACTACTAGTATTACCAGTATTTCTATTAGTAATACTTTTAACATTGGTAATACCAGTAATACTAGCAATATACTAGTAATACTAGTAATATTAGTAATACGAGTAACACTAGTAATAGTAGTAATACTAGTAATACTAGTAATACTAGTAATACTAGTAATACGAGTAATACTAGTAATACTAGTAATACTAGTAATACGAGTAATACGAGTAATACGAGTAATATTCAAAATATTTGTAATACTGGTAATACTAGCAATACTAGTAACACCAATAATACTAGCAATACTAAAAATACGAGTAATACTAGTAATCCTAGTAATACTAGTAGTACTAGTAATGTTGGTAATATTAGTAATATTAGTAATGCTAGTAATGCTAGTAATGCTAATAATGCTAGTAATGCTAGTAATACTAGTGATACTAGTATTACGAAAAACAGGAGCGAGTAATTAATGCGAGTATTAGGAGCAATACGAGTAAGACGAGTAAGAGCACTAATTCGGGTAATGGCATAAACATCTACGATGGTGAAAAACGCATGCTTTACGACAGCTATCGGGCGAAACTTGTTTCCGGTTCCATGGTTCGCAGTCCACAGCGGGAAATGAGAGCAACGTATTGAATGAACCTTCAAGCAACTTCAACAGGCAGCTTGCAGTTTGCCACAGTCGCGCATAACACACATGTGCGGAAGAGCGAACAAGCTTTAGTTCAATGCACCACGTTCGCTAGTTTTGCAACTTCAAAAGTGGAGCTGAGTTCATTTCCGTAGGTTTTCAGTTGCATCGCTGACTTTTGAAAAGAACATTGCAACATGTGAATCAAGGCGTTGACATGGAATCGAGTTTGTTGCGCTATTGGGACAAGCAGGGCTCATGATGCAGACAGTGTGTGCGGCAAGATCCTGAAGTTTGCTAGGTGATTCGGTAGCTTGTTCACATTTGTGGTGACAGTGAGGAGTTGCATCTGTGCATACGCAGCATTCCAGTCGGGTCCCGTGTTGCGAAATTGCCATCAACATATCTTAATGACGCTACCTGCAACCAAGCATGCTGAATGGCGACATGATGTTTGCATGGTGACATTGGGATACTCGTCTCTGAGGCCGGACTTTAGTCTTTCGTGATCGGCAAGTTGTCTTCCGTTCGTGTTACTGTTCAGCATCCACCGCGCTGCTGCCGTGATTGAGGTTTCATGGAAGTCAGAAACAGCCGAATCACCAGCAGCCGGAATGAGCAAGTTGGAGAAGCTTGGTTCAAATCTGGAAAATGTAGCCGGGCTCGGTCAAGCATCAACAAGTTTGTGTTCAAAGCTTCCTCCAACATTTCGAGCTAAGGACTTTCTTGGCAAGTGATGTGGATCAGACGCTCAAGAAATACGATGACTTATGGACTGCCCAGGCCCGGCTCTTAAAAAAAAACGCTGATCGGTGTTGATGAAAGCTGCATAGCCGCATGCAGGATCCTGAAGACAACCCCTACAAAAGCAAGTATGTTGCCCGGGAGATGCTGGAGATTGCCGTAGCCCGGCCTACCGAATGGCCTCTGATTGTCAGCATCAGTGTATTTCTGATACTTGCCATGCCTTGTGCCGAATGCTTCCTATCTCTGTCGTGGCTTCATCAGCGTCACCTCTGGCGCACTAGTCTTCGATCGTCGCAATGACATGTCAAAAGATACGAGACACTCGGACACTCATTGACTCATGATCATCTCTTTAGGTTTGTCTTTGCTGCCCAAGGTCAAGAATGTGGAGAAACTCGTTGAGGAGGAAGCTTCCATCCAAACTGCCGATCGTGGACGTGAAGTTGTCGCCAGGCCAGGAAACGGTCCAGGTTTGTCAACTGCATGGGCTATGCTGTGAAATTTGCTGAAGCTGGAGTTGTGTAGATCCTCAGAGAGATCTTGGATTCGCAAACAGAATGCCTTGGAGGCTCTTGCTGTTCCTTGGCAAGAACTGCTACTTCTGCGAGGAGGCAGGGGCAGACTTGGTCATCATTGAGGTCCACATTTTCCTGCACAGCAGGTCCCACAGGCTGAGAAGTGCTTCATCCGATCCTTGGAGCGCTACCTGCGATCGCCGTTGCGACTGGAACCCGAGCCGTTCTGTTACATCCAGGCTCTGGTCTGCCCAAATTGGGATGTCGTGCTGTGCAGCGCCTAGGGTCAACTCATAGAGGAATATCCAAGATCACCACGTCCACCACCTCCTCGACGTTCATGTCAGGATGTCTTCAACCAGCTGGGCATGCTCTGGTGTAATCGTGGGGGCCACAAAGCCGGAATGCTTAGTTTGTTTCGTCTCCTTGTCTCCTTGTCATGTTGGATAGTCATGTGTCATCCGCCGAGGAAGGAATGAACTTCCTGCGCAGGGCGCAGGTGATGTACATGAGGCGGCCGCAGCATGTACGCGATGCTTGTGAAGAACGGTGCGAGAACAATTACACGATGACCATGTCGCTTGGCCTGCAGAGTGCTTCCTAACACTGCTTTGTGGGTGTGTGTGTGTGTGCACTTCGCCTGATCTGTCAGGTTTTACTTGGCACAGGCCTATGGGGCACTGCAGAAGCCAGCCCTTTCAGCACGGTTTTGCGCTGAGACCATGAGTCGCCAGCTCGAGGTGGGGGGCCACATTGGGCACAGACACCAACTTTTTGGGTCATCCGGCTCGAACTGAGTAACCGGGATATGTGTTACGTCGATTTCTTTAGGATGAGTGGTTACTTGTGATCACCACGTGATCTAAATAAGTAAGGAAGGCATGGTAGTAGCGGTGCCAGCACTAGTAAGTCACTGGTAGCTGGGAGAACGAGCAACTCCAGTCATGGTTGTTCGAGGATGCATTTTCCCTTCATTTGCCAAGTTCAAGCCTTCATGCTTTGCATCATCGAACGAGCTCATTATTCCAGTTGCCAACATCGCAGACTGCCCTCGCCATGTTCCAGTGGCTCTTTAACACTCGATCTGGCCCATGAGTGTCCTTGAGATTCACGGGCCTAGCAAAGTATTCTCCGTCTGAGTGCAGCTTCGCAGCCTTTCTTCATGCATATTCATGGCTTACAACGTCTGACTTTTCTCGCCTTGTGAACTGTGGTGCAGAGCTCCGTAAAGATCCTCATGATGGCCCGCTTGGGCAGCAATCATGTCGATTCGTTTGCTGACTGTACATGCCCTGGTCCCTGAAGTCGAATTCGCTTGGCTTGCGCAGCCAAGAAATCACTGAGCGAGACCCTTTCGACGCAAAGGACTGGATCAGGCAAGGCTGCGAGCTACGTCAAACTCGTCCTCTTTCTCTGTGTGTGTGTGTGTGTGTGTCTGCATAAGCAAGACTTCTGCATGGACTACTTCCTATCCCTGAAAGGAACTGCTGTGCCTTGTCTGACTTCTTCATCAACGATGGCATGTTCTGGACTGCCGATTCGTGGTGGCACGAAGCCGACACCGCAAAGCGACACGGCGCTTGTGCGTTCAAATTTAAGGAGTATTTGCTGCACTCGGCGCTGGTCATGTGCGAGCGTGGTGGAGAGATCGTGGGCTCAGAGCCCGAGAACATCAGAGAGCTCAAGGCCGAGTGCATGCGCGACATTGGAAACATGCAGCGTGGCTCGGATTTGTCGTCTGCCACATTCCATTAAGAATAGGGCTTTTCCTTTGTGACGGGCAACTGGCTTGTGCTGGTTCTGTCGTTGCCACAAGGAGTCTAACCTAGTAAAGGAGATGCAAGTCGAACTCTGACGGAAAGCATTTTTTGGTGGTGAAAGGGCACTTGCTTTTGAATGAGCGCTGACACTCGAGCAGTTCTGATCCACGATCACTTGACGAGCTAGGGCTAGCGCCCAAAGACTCGACAAGAGAAGCACAGACCAGGACGGCCGGTGCCGCTAGCACAGGCCGTCCGTGCAAGGCAACGTTCGGTGGCCAAATGACTTCCAGCTGTCGAAAGAGTGCTGCATAGGGGTATGCAGTATGCAAACAGTAAGCCAAGTCTCGTCCAGTGTACATTTGAGCACTCTTTATTTTGTTCCGCTTGTCTCGGGTTTGACATTCGCTGGTAATGGAGCTGTCCTGTTTTCAATTGCGCAATGAAACTGATACTGTTGAAATCCAGTGATGATATGAGCACATAGTGTCATGTCACAGAAACTCGAGTTTCCTTTGCGATGGTGTGCAGCTTCCGCTGAGTCGTAAATGGTTGCCAAGCCAATCAGAGGGAAAAAGGTCGCAAAAGAAGTTCCGGGACCAGATATACCAACAGTAAGGAAGCAGTTCTGACTAGCTTGCTGCATCCGATCGGGTGTTGTTTCGAGCATGATCGCAAGGTACGCAACCCGTCTCAAGTTCGCCAGGGCATGTGCTGAAAGACCAGATGCATGGGACGAGGCACTCGTCCCTCTCAACCTGTTCACGTCAGTCGACTATCGAAACGAGAGTAGATCAGGTCTGGCGTGGTGAGCGCAAGAAGGAGGCGGAGGAACACACCGTTCCAGATGAGGCGCAGCACATCGTCAGGCTGTAATGAGTGTCATTCAGTGTCGTTTTGCTGCCAATGCTTTCCTGACAGTCTGACTGTACTGTCAGTCAAATCGCTCACCCAAAAATCTGTGATTAGTACTACAATGAGTGCAACTACAGGACCCCTTCACATGGATGGTACTGGGTTTTTCCCGCTGCCTCAGGGCACCAAGCTCAGCTTTCGCGTGTCGGCAGACCGGGTGGAGCGCCCTCCAGAAGGCGGTAACGGACCCATCCTCTGGGACGACATCTTCCCCGAGGCCTCGCCGTGCCTCGCATCTGTACACGTGTCCTGCACAAGCGCAGGTCGTCCACCTGGAAGATGATGAGGCCCAAGACAACCTCATGGCGGAGGAGCACGAGGCCTGCGGCAGATGCGGGGTCTCCGCTTTCGCAGTCTCACGGCAGCTCTTTGAAGCCAAAGCGACATGTCCAGGCCATGACAGAAGGCAGTCATCAAGAGGAGTGAATGTGTGTGTGTGTGTGTGGGTGCATGTCGAGTCGATGTTAGATGCAGTTCCCTTGCTGTGAAGGAGGAGTGGCTTATCCTTGGGCCGGACGACAGGATCCACCTTCCTGTGCACTTCAGGCACTCAGAGCCAAACATGTGAAGCCTTCAATCATGGGAGCGGGCTAGGCTCAGTGGACTAGTCTTCCAAGGACTTTGGCTCGAGTTGGTGTCGTCGCTGTGTTAAAGAACTGAAGCACCAGTGCGTGTGTAAAGATACGCTTTGCGAACGGAGTCTGTGATGCTGCAGGTATGGCAGGTTGTTGTACGGCCTGTGCAGGAAACAGGTCATGATTGCAGACACGAAGAATCCGTTGCAGTGATAGGCTACTACACGAGCACACCCAGCGAAGAATCCGCACGGTCCTGAGCAGAAAGACGGCCGGAGATTGGTGCTGCGATTCTACCCAGCCAGAGTAGAGCCAGTACCAGGCAGAGCAAACACCTCATTCTTGGAGCAGCGGGGGCCGCACAAGCCCTTGGCAGCTGAAGGCAGGACGTGTCTGCTAGCGAGAGTTCGTACGCATCTGCACGGTGCCAAACAAGACTAGGCTTGTTGCAAGTTGTACGGACCCGTGAGCCTAAAATTTTGTGCTAGCAACGGTTGGAACTCAGTGATCCCTGCAAGGGGAAGAACGGTCGGTACCTCAGCCAGACTTGCTGACATGTTCGGACCCGGAAGACCAAGCAATGCGGCAGGCCAATGTCGCCGTCCTGCATCGGTGTGTCTTTCGCCGCTGCGCGGGAGGCTTCTCCCTTGATGTTGTGCAACCTCATGCATCGAGAAAGTCTCGGTCATGTCTGCTTTCACATCATTAGCTCCGCGAGGGTTTCTAATTGTGCACGCCTGCGGTTTCCCCGACAGCTGCTGCACTTTTCGTCAGATCTTCAAGCTGGGCAATCACTTCTTCGCCCATGCTTTGGACTACTTCCTCTTAGACGGATGGGTCACAGAACATGTCAGGACCTTCTGGTGGTGGTAGACCGCGTAGACTTGGAAAGACGGAAGCGGAGAGTGCGCCCCAGGATACTTCAAGAACTGTCCACCATGTACCGGACTCTGCAGTACTGGGAGAAGGCATGTCGGTAACCAGCGCGAGCTGCCCTGCAGTCAGATGAATGTTGCAAGCATGTGCTGAAGACAGCAGTGCCTGAATGATGTGATTCCATGCAGGATCCAAAGCGGTCTGCTGCGATGCTCAAGCGACGAGCCTGCCGCTCGACGCTCTTGGCACCAGCCAGGTCCAAGTAGAACTTTCATGCAGGGAGAAGCGTTGCAGTTGTCAAGCTCCGTGCTTTGTTGTTGCATTTGTTCACACCGCTGCTGCCTCGCCTCAAACTTCAGCGTACATCTCGGGCCCATCGTCCCCAACCGCGAGGCTTTCCGGAGCAAGCAATCTCGCTTCACTTGCATGGAAGACTGCAGCACTAGTGGCAGGAAGAATTCAGTCTTGCTTCGCACCGCAAGCACCAGAGCGATGATGCGATGATGTATGACTTAAGCCAAGGTCATTCAAGTCTTTCATTGCAAGCATGTGTGATGATTCCCACATTCAGAATTTTCATTTGCAAGCTCGCGTGGTGATGAATTACATGACTAGCATTGCGGAGGCAGTGTTCGTCGGCTCTCGTAATCGTCAATACATCTGTGCGAGGTTGGATGGGCGACCGCCGAGGAACGCAGGGATGACTTGCTGTCCTCGTCTGCATCAGTTTGCCAAGATGCGTTACCGTGAGTGTGACATGGGTGGTTAGCCTAGCTCAGTTGTGTCTTGCATGTCTGATTGCATGTTTGGAAGGAGACCGCGGGTATGGCCGCAGCCGCTGGGGCCGCGGAGGCCGCGGTGAGGAGGAGGAGGCGAGGGCAAGAGAAGAAGCCGCAGAATCCAAGAAAGCTCTTCACCCCACCTCGTGTCGCTCAGGACCGTAGGGATCCGCCAGCCCGGCGTCCGGAGCGGGCCAAAGGCACGTCTGTTTCTAACTGAAAATGATTGGAGGACGCGGAGCCTCAAAGATTTTGGCGGCAGGCGACCAGAACGACCACCGAGGCTACGGCCGAGACTCTGGTCGGGAGTCCGGCCGTGGTCCATGGGGTCGAGGTCGAGAGGAGGATGAGGCGACGCTTGTCCTTTTGCTCCCCGCTGATGTGCATGCTGTCCGTAGGAGAAGCACACAATTCTGATGTGCACAAATCATTCCGACAGAGACGCAAACCACTACTAACTACTGTAAGGGTCAAAGACTGCGAAAGTCCGAGCCGCGCAGCATGAGCGTCTGACATGTCTTAATGCTTTTTTCGGTGATTGTACAGATTTAATGAACTGTTGGGCTTCGAGAGGTTAGTCGGATGATGACACGCACCCAAAGAACAACCATGAATGCAATGTGCTACGTACTCGTCGACATCGCCGTCGTCGCCGTAGTCGTAGTCGTACTCGTAGTCGTAATCGTTAAGGAGAAGAATTACTAGTGGTAGTAGTAGTAGTAGTAGTAGTAGTAGCAGCAGTAGTAGTATCAGTAGTAGTAGTAGTAGTAGTAGTAGTCGTCGTCGTAGTAGTAGTAGTAGTAGTAGTCGCAGTGGTAGTAGTAGTAGTAGTAGTAGTAGTAGTAGTAGTAGTACTATTATTATTACTACTACTACTACTACTACTACTACCACTACAACTACCACGACCACTACCACTAGCACTAGCACTACCACTACCACCACCACCACTACCACCACCACCACAACTATTACTACTGCTACTACTACTAGAACAAGTACAAGTACAAGTACTAGTACTAGTACTAGTACTAGAACTAGTACAAGTACAAGTACAAGTACAAGTACAAGTACTAGTACTAGCACTAGTAGTAGTAGTAGTAGTAGTAGTAGTAGTACTACTACCATTATTATTATTACTACTACTACTACTACTACCACTTCTACTACTACTACTACTACTACTACTACTACTACTACAACTACTAGTACTAGTACTAGTATTAGTACTAGTACTAGTACTAGTACTAGTACTAGTACTAGTACTTAGTACTAGTACTAGTACTAGTA